CAGAGGGGCCACATTCCTCATTCCTGAACTTGGGGTGGCAGTGGAATTGGAGAGAACCTGCAAGAGTCATTGGTCTGGGGTCTGCAGGGGCAGCCTAGAGAAACAGGGAGCCCTCACCCCATTTCTGGGGCTGCAAGGGCTAGGAATTTGGGGTGGAACCAGGCATGAAACAGTCCCCCTGCAAACACATGTGGAGGTTGCAAGCTGATTGTCAGAGCCCATGGGCTTCTCTGCCACCCAACCTGGCTTTGCCCAGGTGCCTGGCTTCCTGCCCTGATGAGATTGGAGGTTTGGGGCTCAGGCTATTCCCAGGTCCTTGGCCACAGGGAGGAGATTCCAAAGACTCTGGGTAAACAACAGCGGTCAAGTGGTGTCCTTCCCAGACTCCTAGGGTCACCTCTACTCCTTAAGGTTTCATTGACTTGGTAGAGACTGCATCTCAGAAATTTAAAAACTTTTTATTAGAGTAAAATTTCAAACATGAACATATCTTTTGAGGGAAGCCTGCGGCCCCCATCAGACCCTGGCCACAAGGTGAGAAACCGCCTGCCCCAGGACCTCCCTGCCCTTGAGCCTCCTTTATGGAAAGGCCCTTCCCCACCCCTCTCCCCATGCCCTCTAGGGCCTCTCCTTCTCCTGAAAATCATCTGCCGCACGTGGAAAGTTCTTTGCAGTTTCCTAGGAAATTTCCACGTTAATAATAACATACACTATCAGGTCCCAGCTAATGAGTGGGGAGCTGGGAGTCAAACCTGGCCCCTAGAGCCCAAAGTCCGGGCTTGTCTGGAGAAGATGGCACAGCCTCACTGGGGGTCTGGCAACAGCCTTGTGGATTAGGTATCGTTTCCCTTCTATTGTTGGGGCATTAACTGACTAATTAATTACCTTAACTCATGGATGTTTTCTGAGTACTGCTGTGAATGAGCTGAGTCCCAGGAGAGAGGCAGCAATGGACAGGAGGTCAGAGGTTAGCTGAGTTTTTCTGAGGGACAGTGTATGTGTGTGTGTGTTGCAGGGAGCACGTGTCCCAGTGAGGGTGGGAGGAGAGTGGGGTGTCCAGCCAGCGGGGCCCCTGGCCACCCCCTAAGCTCCTCTTTCCTCCCCCTACAGGTGTGGTCTTTCCTTACCAGTCCCCCAACGGGCGCTATCGGCTCAACTTCCATGAGGGCCAGCAGGTCTGTGCTGAGCAGGGCGCGGTGGTTGCCTCCTTTGAGCAGCTCTTCCGGGCCTGGGAGGAGGGCCTGGACTGGTGCAACGCGGGCTGGCTGCAGGACGCCACGGTGCAGTACCCCATCATGCTGCCCCGGCAGCCCTGCGGTGGCACGGGCCTGGCACCTGGCGTGCGAAGCTACGGCCCCCGCCACCGCCGCCTGCACCGCTATGATGTATTCTGCTTCGCCACTGCCCTCAAGGGTGAGTGGAATGGCCAAGGCCAGGCCTGCGGGTTTGGTGGCCATCTAGGACCTGTGGGAGAGCAGCTTCTGGGGAGCTCTGGCCCCCTCTGCTGGCTCTGCTGGCACTGCCACCTGGAGGCCAAGAGCTCTAGCCACCCTTGAAGCAGCGTCTGGTTGAGTTTCGAGTGCTTTGCTGCTGCTGCTGCTGCTGCTTTATGCCGATCATTGGTTTCTCATTGGTTTCTTCATTCATCAAATATTTACTGAGTACCTACCATATGCTAGAGCCTAGACTAGACTCCGGGAAATCACAGATAAATAAAACACAGCCTGTCTTCACAAAGCAGCTCATTTCACAGGAAGATGAGCAAGTAAAACCGAAACTGGTTCAGTGTCATATGCCGAGCCCTTGGAAAAGTGTCTGACACATAGTAGGTGTTCAGTAAATGACCGAATGGGCGAGAAACCCTGACTGGTCCAGCCTAGGTGGGGTGTCCACCCAGGGTGCAAATAGGGAAGGGTGGTAGGGGAGTGCAGACATGACTGGAGGGACCCGGGTTCTATGGCAGGTGGGACAGAGCTTTCTGGGAGAGGGTGAAGATTAGGAAGTGTTCTCTGCAGATGCCTGCAGTATGGTAGCTCCCTGGGCTCAGATGGGTCTTTGGGGCTGGCATCTCTGCAGGCCCCGCTGTGCTCTCTGGCTGCCCCCTGTGCTGTCTGGCACTCATGCCCCCTTTCCCCCAGGGCGGGTGTACTACCTGGAGCACCCTGAGAAGCTGACACTGACAGAGGCAAGGGAGGCCTGCCAGGAAGATGAAGCCACGATCGCCAAGGTGGGACAGCTCTTTGCCGCCTGGAAGTTCCATGGCCTGGACCGCTGCGACGCTGGCTGGCTGGCAGATGGCAGCGTCCGCTACCCTGTGGTTCACCCGCATCCCAACTGTGGGCCCCCGGAGCCTGGGGTCCGAAGCTTTGGCTTCCCTGACCCACAGAGCCGCTTGTACGGTGTTTACTGCTACCGCCAGCACTAGGACGTGGGGCCCTCCCCTGCCGCATTCTCTCACTGGCTGTGTATTTATTGAGTGGTTCGTTTTCCCTTGTGGGTTGGAGCCATTTTAACTGTTTTTATACTTCTCAATTTAAATTTTCTTTAAACACTTTTTTACTATTTTTTTTTGTAAAGCAAACAGAACCCAATGCCTCCCTTTGCTCTTGGACGCCCCACTCCAGAAATCTTGCCTGCTTCCCTGGGCCATTTGTGGTTTTGTGGGCCTCTGGAGGGTTCCCCACCATCCAGGCTGGTCTCCCTCCCTTAAGGAGGTTGGTGCCCAGAGCGGGCGGTGGCCTGTCCAGAATGCCACTGGGAGTCAGGGCACGGTGAGCACAGTTCTCCCTGCCCCTCAGCCTAGGGGAAGAAGAGGGCCTCGGGGGCCTCCAGAGCTGGGCTTTGGGCCTCTCCTGCCCACCTCTACTTCTCTGTGAAGCTGCTGACCCCAGTCTGCCCACTGAAGGGCTAGGGCTGGAAGCCAGTTCTAGGCTTCCGGGTGAAATATGAGGGAAGGGAGAAATTCCCCTCTCCATTCCCCTCCCCCTCTTGGTTCCAAAGAATCTGTTTTGTTGTCATTTGTTTCTCATTGTTCCCTGTGTGGGGAGAGGCTCTCAGGTGTGTGTACTTTCTTTGGACAATAAATGGTGCTATGACCGCCTTCCGCCATCCCCAGTCCTTTTCTGTGTTTCCATCTCATTTGGTCTCAGGGCGCAGGCCCCTGCCTGGTGGGTGTGGTGGGGGCAGTTCTAGCCCAGGCTTCGTAGGTTGGCTGGGTCAGGTCCCTGGGGTGAACAGGGAACTCTGTGGGCTGGTTCTAGCCTTGCCTGCTCAATGGTTCACCCGGTCCTGGGTGCTGGCCTAGTGGCAGAGGACCTGGCTTGTGTCTTCACCATCCCCACCCCTTGGCAGTGTGTCTGTCTGTGTGAGGCCCAGCAGAAGAGTCAGAGGTGCCTCTCAGAAGACAGAGGAAGCTGTGGCCCTCCAGAGGACCTCAGAGGCGGGGGGTCTAGGGGCCAGTGCTCCGTGTGCCTCACCCTTTGCCACCCACTCCCACCCTCGCCTCAGGGAACTTGTTGCCTTGCGCAGGAACGCCTCTGCCACTCACCAACCAATTATTCATTCAATCAGTTCTTCCCTTAGCTCAGTGCTCCTCATAATGTGGTTCACAGCATCAGCATCACTGGGGTCTTGTTAGAAGTGCAAATTCCTGGGCCCCACCAGAGACCTGCTGAGTCAGAAAGTCTGGGGTGTGGACCTACACCCTCTGTCGTCACCAAGCCCTTTAGGTGATTCTGATGCATGCTTAAGTTTGAAAACCACTGACAGTTGCATCACCAACTAATCAGTTCATTAATAGTTAGTTAAGTAATGGTTGAGCGCCTACTATGTAACCAGTGCTGTACACTCTACTTTGGCCCACTGTTCTTTCTAGAGGTAGAGGTACAAGTATATATCTACGAACAAACAACTGTACACACGCCCACGCCTGAAAAGATACCAGGACCCAGGAACTCACACTGGCATGCACGAACCAACACATACACACATTCACAAAGGCTCAATGGCATGTCCAGCGACTGTGATGAGGGAGGCGTCTGAGGAGGTGGCACTGGTAGAAGGACATTGCCTGGCATGCATGTGCAGGCTCAACTCTCAAGGTTTGTTGGGGGAATCCGTAAGCAATTGGAATTGTTTTCATTGCTTTTCTACAATGTACTTTTTCTGAGACAAAGTCTTGCTCTGTTGCCCAGGCTGGAGTGCAGTGATGCAATCTTGGCTTACGGCTCACTGCAACCTCCACCTCCCAGGTTCAAGCAACTCTCCTGCCTCAGCCTCCTGAGTAGCTGGGATTACAGGTGCATGCCACCATGCCTAGCCAATTTTTGTATTTTTTTAGTAGAGACAGGGTTTCACCATGTTGGCCAGGCTAGTCTTGAACTTCTGACCTTGTGATCCACCGGCCTTGGCCTCCCATAGTGCTGGGATTCCAGGCGTGAGCCACTGTGCCTGACCTCTATAGCATACTTAAGGGCAGAATGCGCAGACCTTTTTGCTAGTAGCTGGCCCGCAGTTTACCCTGCAAATGTGTAAGCAAGATTCACTGTTCCCAGACTGTTTGCAGTTTGTTTTTCCCTTTCCTTCTTATAAATCCTGATTTTTGTCTCTGTTCTTGGACTCAGTCTACCAACCTACCAGAGCAGTGTGATCACCAAGAACCAAAGCACACAAGGTGACCAGATGTCTTGCTTGAGTTGTTCTTTGGCAGTGCCCACTTGTAAATCCATATGGTACCCACTGACTGACACATGTCACACATATCACATGTGCTTACATGCAGATCATCTACCAAACACATTAGCACCCTAGGAAAAATAAAGCACAACAGATGTGACTGTCCCAGGTGCTCTGAACAGACCAGAGTCACAGAGTCACACCAATTTGAGATCATTTGATCAAAACCTGTCTCCACCGCCACCATTCCTAAGAGCCCCTTTGGGGGACTCTGGGTCATGATTGCCTTCTTCTTAAATTAAAAAAGGGAAAAGAAAAGAGATAGATCTCTTCCAAGGTCTTTATTATTATTATAATATCATAATCTTCAGTTTTCAAAAATATAAATAGGTGCACGGAACCCTGGTGCCTGCACGGTCCCGGGGGCGGGGGTGGGGAGGGGAGAAGGTTGGGTGGCACCCCCACTGGGCAGGAAGTGCCCCCAGCAGCCCTGCCGAGTTGCCACCTGCTAGGGTGGCAGACCCAGGTGAGAGGACACTGGAAGAGGGACCCTTGGAGGGAACCAACCCCCAGGCAGTGGAAGGTCCCTCAGATGGCTCTCCCCCGCCGGCTTACCCTCGGCAGGAGGCAGGAACCCGCCCTTCTCCCCCAAGGCTTCTCCCTCATATAGATGGTGCAGCCCTCCTGGCTCCTTCTCATCCAATACATTCAGCTGCAGTTCGGAGTTCTTCATGCTGTCAGGCCTCTGCCCCTTCCAGCTCCTTTGGAGCCCTCCTCCCTCCTCCCTAGCTCTCCCTGGAGGTGAAATAACCAACGATTGCACTGCTCTTGGATAAAGTCAGGAAACAAAAATAATCTTCTTTATTTAACTTAACCCCTCCCCTTCTCCCCCTGTCCCTGCACTGGTCCCTGGAAAGGCACGATGGGAGATTGAAGAAATGTCTCTAAACTCACTCCACGGGTTATAATAAGTTTGCTTTGCTTTGGCATTCGGCGGACAAATTAGATGCGGTTTTGCTGATTTGGAGGGGTGAGTGGGTGCATACACAATGTGGGATTTATTTTTTTCCTTCTTTAATGGGATTCCTTATTGACAAAAAGCGACAAGAAGAGGACACCATCTGGGTGGGATGCACGTCAGCCTGGCAGGCTCCTGGGCTCAGCGTCCTGGGTGCGTCCTGGAAGCTCTTCTCAGTGGGCCGTGCTGGGGCGGCTCCTCCGAGGGTGCCGTGAGCTCCGCTTCTGTAGTCTGCGTTTGTAGGCGGTGGCTAGGGCGAAAGGGAGATGGAAAAATATCAGTGGGCCTGGAAAGAAAGTGGGGCGAGCCTAGGCTCTCCCCAGACTATCCTCTCTCCCTTGTGGAAACCGGGGACTCAGCGAGGCACCTGAGGCTTTATCAGCTTTCCTGATTTTGAGTTTTCTTGGACTTTCTCCCTTTTTCTCCTTCATCCTCTCAGTGAAAGTGAGCCCTCTCCTGGGACAAGTACGTGGCCCTTCTAGGGGCAGCGATCAGCTATTTGTGACTGAGCAGCCCCCTGACCTCCCCTCCCTTGCTCAACCTTGTGGATGGTGCAGGGTCCCCAGGAGCGGGGACGGGGGGAAGGTTGTGCTGGCAGAATCTAACCCTGTGCTCAGCGAGGGTGGCTGGGGTGATGCTTACCGTCTGTGCAGGTGATCCGAGGCTCCTCCCAGTGCCCGCTGGGTTGGCACCGGATGGTGGGCACGTGGCGCTGGACAAACCCCTCTGTGCACTGGTACCGCACCAGGGAATTGATCTCATACCGGTCCTTCTTCTGCCCGAAGGTCCTGGCATGCTGCACCACAGGGGGCTCTCCACAGGCCACTGGGGGGCAAACACCCTTTATAAAGGGTCTCATAGGGTCTCCTGGGATGACCTAAACTGGCTGTGACCCGAGGCACTGTGGGGGACACAGCCTCAACACCTGACAGTGAGCCCTGGATGTTTTCATACAGCGCTAGGAATCTAGAAGCTGCTGGCTCTAATATCTAAGTGGTTCCTCACAACTTAGAACAGCAGGAAGGGAATACAAACGGGGTGGTCTTTAAAGGGATGAAGAGAAGATGAAAGGGAGGTAGAAAGGTGTGGAGGGCGAGAGCCAGGCAGACTTAGGCTTCTTGATGAAAACATCCAGTTCAGGGTAAAATGAGACCAAAAGGAGGCCTGGGGGATGCAAGGTGATGAGCAGGGGCAGTGGGGCGCATCCTACCAGCACCTCAATGTCCACAGACTGAAAGCCAAGGGATCGAGGCCTGACAACTATGACTCTGTGATTGATGGCCTCGGGAAACCCAAAGACAGGGAGGCTCCCCACCTCAAGCAGAGTTGCCTTTGTGGGTAACTCTGCTGCTGCTATCCAAGGAACTGTGTGGAGTGTGGAGTGGGGGTCCTGTCTTCTAGCCTGTGACCTTCATGTGCTCGTTGTCCCTGCAAATGGTCCCTGGCAGCAAGCTTGCCCTTGCCATTGGCCCTGGGATGCTGGTGCTAGGAGGGACCCCCAGGTCAGCTCCAATCTGCTTTTTGGACAGGTGAGGAGACACCAGCAGCCAGGAGACAAGGGACTCACCCCAGGCCACACAGCAAGAGCCTCACCTGTAGCTGGAGGTCTTGATCCTATCCTCCCCAGACCCCTCCCAGGCCCCAACTTACCTGTGCCCTTTTTACACGTGAAGGGGAGGTGGTAATTGCAGGGAACATCATTCCACTCGCCCTTCTCGTGCCAGATCATCACCACACAGTCCTCTCCGGCGGCAAAGAAGTTGTCAGGCTGGTTGGGGCGCCAGTTCTCAAATTGCTGTGGGTGGGAGTGGGGAAGGAGTAAGGAGTGAGCAGGACAGTGTGGGTTGGCCTGCTCCGACTGTCTTCCCCATGGAGCCTCTTCATCGTCTCCTTTCTCTTTTAGCCCCAACTTCAGGCTCATCTAATAGCAGCACAAAGGCTGCTGGGAGTCTGGTCAGGGCTGTTCTAGGGGCCATGGAACCCGGTGGCTCCCTAGAGAATCGGTCACACAGCCTGACTCGGGTCCTTCTCAGGAGCTCAGAACCCCCAGGACTCACAGGCCTGTACATGAGCTGATTCCACTCCTCTTATCCAGAAGGGCCAACCAGGGCTGACTACATTGGGTAGGGATGGATGGTAGGAACATGGCTCTTAAGTCTGGCCTCTGCCCACCAGGAAGTCCTCCCAAGGCTTATCCTTCCAGCTTTGCTTCAGGACAAAGAGAATCACTGGGTGCCTGTACCATTCACTTGGCATCTATGTTGCTTTCTGTCTGTCTCCTTGAGTAGACTCGAGTCCAATATGGGCAAGAAACCTCTCTAAAGCTTCCGTGTACTCCTCATGGTGGTGGCTATTATTCCTTCATCTCTTTCCTGGCTCCTTCCCTTGCCTCATGCCGTCATTGGCTCAATCTGTCCGGCCCCGGGCTGGGTTCCAGAGGCAGAGATGAAGGAGACAATCCCTGCCCTCAAGGGCTCCCGGTCTAACAGCCAGTCAGTGAGTGTCTGCATGGGGTTTGAATGCATCTCTCTCCAGGGGTCTTTATCCCACACCCTGTCCTCTGGGTCACCAGCTGTGCCTACAGCAGAACTCACCATGGGGTGTCCATCTGACCAGCGGAAGTCCCCTTCGATGGTCCTGTCGTTCAGGCCGATCCACTGGTAGTCTTGGGCATTGTCTGGGGAAAGGGTGAGGGTGTCAGGCCTCACACTCGACACGCTGGGGTGTCTGAGAAACTTGAGCTCATGGAGGCAGAGGGGATGGAGGAGGGAAGGAGGTAGGTGGGCTCCTAGGAGCAAGCCACCTGCTTCTCAGGTCCTCACAAGGGGCTCAGCATGTGCATGCTTGGAGTGCACTTTGGGCCACCTCTCTAAGCTGGCATGGACAGGTGACAGCCACAGCTTAGTTTTGGGCTGACTCTGGCTGGCATTGGGTCTGCCCTGGGTGCAGCCAGAGCTACTGGCCCCAAAGACCGCTGTCTTCTCTCTGAGAGCTCAGACCTCCCCCAGGTCCCTGTCCTGCAGTCTCACGAGGCCCAAGTCTGCTGCCTTCTGAAAGGTGAGGCCCTTTGCCTACACCGCCACTCTCCTCTCAGGCTCCAGAGGCCCTGCTGCACTCACTGTTGACAAATTCCTGCTCCTCGGGGGTGACGATGCTGCTCAGGTGTGACTGCTGCTCCCGACACCGGCGCTCAGCATCCACCCAGGTCTCGCGGTCTGGGAAGTGGCGGTAACAGTGGCCCTGGTACTTGGTCCAGCCCTCTTCACATACCTCCTGGTCTGCAACACAGGTCAGAGGCTTGAAGGGAGGGGCAGAGGCCACCAGAGGATGGCAGATGCTGCTAGTCTTGTGGCATAGGTTCCTGCATTCACCCCACCTTCAATGCTGTGCCCTCAAGGGAAGGGAGAGGCACAGCTGGAGGGGGTTCAGGTTGGAAACTGGTCTGGTCCCTGGGAGCCTCTGCACATGCTTCCACTCTGGAAAATGCCAGGGGCCCTTTCCTTCCCTGATGCCACGCCCTCCCCGCTCACCCTCTCCCAAGCTTTCCTCCTCTTGATGCCTGCTCTGGTGGGCCAGCAGAGGTCAGCAGGCCAGGTACAAAGAGGTGGGAAGGTGGGAGGTCTTGAGATTTAAGGCAAGATTTGAGGCTCTGAGGGGCTCCAGGGAGAGAGGGAGTAGAGCTGTGGGGAAGTTCGTGGAGGCAATGGGAGCTGGTAGCGCTGGGGCATGAAGCGGAGCTGGCAGCTTCCTTCCTGCAGAACCTCAGTGGGAACAGAGGAGCAGAAATAAGTCTGCATGGGGTCCAGAGAAGACTCAGAGCTCTAAGGCTGTTGATCAGAGGTGGCTTTAGTTAAGCACACTGTGCCTGCCTCTTGGGGCAGTCAGATAGCCCACTGGGGGTCTGGGATCCAGGGGCCCTGGCTTTTTATTTTGGGGGTGAATGGGAGGAGGGGAGGAACTTCTCTCCTCACAAACCTAAATTTGTAATGGATTCTCAGTCTGGAGAAGGGGCTGGCTTGGAGTTCTTGGAGCCTGGGGGATAGGCAGAACTGTGCTGAGCTGGCTCACTCAACTTTGAGAGAGCTCATTCTTAGTGTCTCCTCCCAACCTCGCCTTCAGTGACATCATGTTGACAGCTTTAAACTGGCTCTAGTGGAAGCATTTATACCTCAGGAATTGGCAGATGCTACAATCAGGGCTCCCTTCTCCTCTATGAGAGCTGCTTGTTAAACATCTGCCAGCACAGTGTGGGACAGAGTGAATTCCAAGGCCCCCCTTCTTCCTTCTTCCCCTGGGGTCTCCTAGGTGGAGGGCCACGAACCCCTCAGGCTACATGGTGGTCTCCCTGATTGGGTGCCACCATAGTCTGGCTGTCCTGGAATGGAAGGACCAGTACCCGAGCCGAAGGAGTCTTAGGCTGAAGGGGCGGATGCTTGGCAAAGTAGGGGAGAGACAGTTGGGACAGTGGAGGGAGAGCAGAGCAGGGGGGTCAGCAGCCTGAGAAGAAAGAGCAGAGCTGTGGGATGGGCCGTGGAGGCCTCTGGTGCCTCAGCTACGAACGTCTTCCCGAAGGGATGAGGCTGCAGTCTGGAAAGAGGTGGAGAGGCCTCAGAGTAGCCCAGCACTCTGAAGAGGCCAGACATATCATCTTAGAGCTGACTCAGGGGGTCAGTTTTTGGCCCCTTCCGTGGCTGAGGGCTGAGCTGGGCAGGCAGCTCTAGGAGGTGGGTATGGGAGGGCAGGGCTGTGCAGGCTGAAGGTTCTTAGGAAACAGAAATAATTCCAGGGAGGCTGGAAGAGGCAGCAGGGACAGAGCCTGTGGAGTGGTGAGGACTCAAGATTGGAATGGGAGAGGAGATGCAGCCCTGCTTAGCTGGGCCCACAGGCCCAGGGCCAAGCTGGGTGGCTCTGTCACCATCTCTCTTCCCCATCAGGGTACAGAGCCCTATGAGGGTCCTGCCTCATTCCAGCAGAGCACACTTCCATAGTCTGGAACCAAACGGCTGTTGTCGGCATGGAAGTCTCAGACTCTTCTACTCTGTGGCAAATGTTTTAGTATCATGGGGAGAAAATCCTTGTAGTCTCTGCTTCCATCCCAGCCAAGACCCCATATACCAATTTCTTGGGGTCTTCGGGTGAGGATGGAGGGTGGGAGGCTGCAAGGGAGTAGAAGTATCCAGGCTTTTTTTTCCCAGAAGCCTTAAATTCATCTACCAGTTTGTAACCTTGGCAGTGCCTCAAAGGAGTATGAAATCCAAAACTACCCCTCCCCACACTGCTTAGGACCAAAGGGAGACTTCCCAGGAGTTTCAGCTGCTTTCTGGAAGTTTCTGGGAATCCAACTTGAGAGTTTATTGAAAAGGGTTTTAAGCCCCTACATACTTCCAGTTCTCTCTGGGCCATTGAGACAAGCATCCAAAGGTCCCATCTCCCCTTTTCTGAGCTGGAAAACCCCTGAGATCCAGGAGGCTGGTGGGGAGACTAGGAAGCACCAAAGGTGAGAGAGCTGAGGGCTCAGTTTGTCCCTGGGAGGGTTCCTGGTGCACAGCTCCTTTTGGTAGAAGTGGTGGCCCTGCCTAGGTGCAGAAATGGAGAGGTTGGCAAGGCCCAAGAGAGGTAACTCAGCTTCTTCCCCTTGTAACACAGTTCTGTTCTCTCTGGCCACCCTTTGCCTTGCACAAGGGAGGCAAAAAGGAAGCATAGGCTGGCATGGCATTGCCATGGCAGTTGTCACAATAGTGATGAGAAGAAGGTAACATGCAGTAGTCCTTGCTCATGCATGACTTGAGCATGCTGGTGACATGGGAGATCTCAGGCAGACCAACCACAGCTCTCACCCCAGGAGAAGAGAAAGGCAGCTTGGCCAATGTGGCACAGTGGCTCCCAGAGCCATGAAGGAACCACAGAGCTCCCATGCCCATGACCACACTGAGAAGATCCGTGGCTGTCATCTGGAATGAGAACCAATTACTCCCACCCCATAGCTTCCTTCAAGACAAGTGCTCAGAATTAGCCCTGTCTTCTGAACCATACACCAACCTCAGTGGTGGCATCAGTAGGTCTGGAAGCCCTGGAAAAAGTCAGATCAGCCAGTGCTCCAGAAAAGGCTTTTCAAGGAGGAGAGCAAGAAAAAGAGTGGGAATCAGTGGGGCAGACTTTTCAGTTGTTGTCCCTGAAATGGCTCTCCAGATGGACCTTGGGGGCCCCAGCCAGGGCCTGGAGCCTATCATTAGGAGGGAAAGGTAAGGGAGGAGGAGTGGGTGCAGCAGTTAGTAACATTAGCTGAAGCCGAGACGGCCCTACCGATCTCACACAGGTCCCCTCCGTAGCTGGGAAGGCATAAGCATGTGAAAGAGTCGATGGCATCCACGCAGGTGGCTCCATTCAGACAAGGGCTTGAGAGGCACTCATCAATGTCTGCAAGAAACCAAGGGCCACCATTAGGACTCCTGCCGGCAACTCCAGCCTCACAAGCACTGTGGCCTCCTTTTGAGTGGCCAGTCCTCCTGCTCTCCAGACCCCTGGGAGGGAACAGGCTGGTTTTCCTAAGAACTGTTGCTGCTGCTGCTGCTGCTGCCATCTTGGAGTGCTGAAGCAAAGATCCAGACAAGGGTTTTCTTGGGCATGTGTGATTCTTGATTGTTAAACTTGGAGCACCGGAGCCAAATTTCCCAGTGGTTTGAAGAGATCTGATATGTCTAAAGCCAAATGCCTTTTGTGACAGTGAACATAGAGTTCCTCCAAGATGCCTTCTCTTGTGAATATTTTGAAAGACCATGGATTCTGAAGTGGTTACGAACATGCTGGTGAGCAAGGAAACTGAAGTCAAGTTCTTGAAGCTTGGTTAGAAGTCTTTCTTTTCCTGGCTTCCTTTGTAGTTATAACCCAGAGAGAGAGGGCAAGGCTGTGTGGGGCTAGAATGAATGACCTTGAAATGGTCTGAAGAGTGTAGATCCACATGAAAATGGCAGCATGGGATGTTCGCGTGAGACTCATCAGACTTCTAGGGCTGCAGACATCTTCTTTGTCTTCAGTAGATATGATTTTAGAATGTCTTGTGAAAATGAAGCCTGAATCTTTCTCTCGGGAGAAGGATGGAAACCCTGTCCAACATTTCCCCATATAATCTCCTTTCAGCTTAAGGCCCCAGATGGTGGCTATCTCCAGGAAGACACAATTTCCAGATGGACTCCATCCTGGCCAGTGGGAGACAAGAGTTTGGAGCTACAGAGGTGGTTAGCAAGTGGCCGCACAACAGCACTGGCACCAGTCTGGGATACAGACACGTCCCCATCCTCTGCCTCTTTTCAGATAGGCTCTTCTTCTCTTCTGTTCTTCTGGTCCTGAGATACCCTTTCTGATCAAACTTCTCTGTGGTACTTGAATTGGTAAGTCATTGGCCATTGCCTCAAATTTTCATGAATTATTCAAGGTGAGAGCTAAATCTCCTCATCTGGTCTTTCTGCATCTTGCTGAGAAACCAGAAGACCTGGGGGATCTCTTCTGCCTTCTTTGTATTTGTACTTCAAAGGTTCCTGCTGTTTTATCCCCCCACTTCATTTCCTCCCCTGGGAACATGATAAATAGTATTATGAAGCTCCTCTTGCCAGGAGATCAGTAAAATTCTGCAATGAGTGGGTTTTTCCACTAGCTATGGGGCACCATGACATGTTGTTTGAAGATACTGAGCCTCAGTATGTGCACCTGTGTTCACACAACCTTCCAGATCCAGCGACAAGTCTGTAGGTGGGCTCTGCAGGACAGGCAAGCCCTGTGGTGGGAATAGGATCTCAGAGTCCTAAACATGTGCCAGGACTTAGTTCTTGCCTCGCATTAGAGCAGATCAGACCTTAAAGTCAACCTTCTGATGAGATGGTAAAGGTACTTTCCTCTGAGTCCTTACGCTGGTGCATAGTAGACATCTTCTAGGCCAGAGGCAGATTTGTGCAACAGGTGGCCTGAAAATCCCCAGCTCTCAGGCATCTTGCTCATCCCACAAAGCTCCTAATCTCCAGTTGTCAGGCATCTCTTTCTTCCCACGAAGTCTTTAACTTCATCTCAAGGAGTGCACACCATGGACTAGAACCAACAGTTCCAAGTTGGAACTGTTCCAAGCAAACCCAAAATGCATGGAGGAACAGACTGAAATCCCAGCATGCACTTGGATTCCCAGCATGCCCCAGGATTCCCAGCAGCAGCAGTAGCAGCAATAGGTCAGGCCAGTCGGCAGGGCAGAAGCTGGGGGCGGCTCTCCTGCATGTTCTGTTTTGTCCATTAG